TATGCATGAAGAAAACTAAGGGCCATGAAGAAGACAGGAAAGAAAGAAAAGACCAAAATGGATGTCCGAAGGAACTCTGAAATTTGCTCTTGAACAGAGAGTAGCTACAGCAAACAGAAGAAATGAGGAAAGAGTTGAACAGAAGATTTCAAAGAGCAGCTCAAGAAGACAAAGCCAGTTACTATAATGAAATGTGCAGAGACTTGGAGTTAGAAAACCGAAAGGGAAAAACATGCTTGGCATTTCTCAAGATGAAAGCACTGAAGAAAAACATCAAGCCTCAAGTTGTAAAACTGAATGATTCTATGGACAAAATATTGAATGATGCAGGAAGCATCAAAAGAAGATGGAAGGAATACACAGAGTCACTGTGCTGAAAAGAATTAATTGCAGGTCAATCATTTCAGGAGGTAGCATATGGTCAGTAAACAATGTCATTGAAGGAAGAGGGCCAAGCTGCACTGAAGGAATTGGTGAAAAGCAGGGCTCCAGGAATTTATGGAATACCCATTGAAATATTTCAACAAATGGATGCAGCATTGGAAGTGCTCACTCACTTGTGCCAAGAACCCTGGAAAACAAGCTCCCTGGCCAGCTGACGAGAAGATATCCACATTTGTGCCCATTCCAAAGAAAGGTGATCCCACAGAATGTGGTAATTATTAAACAATATCATTAATACCACATACAAGTAAAATTTTGCTGAAAATAATTTAAAAATAGTTGCAGCAGTATATACACAGAGCACTGCCAGAAATGCAAGCTGGATTCAGAAGAGGACATGGAGTGAGGGACATCATTGCTGATGTCAGATGGATCTTGGCTGAAAGCAAAGAATACCAGAAAGATGTTTACTTGTGTTTTATTGACTATGCAAAAGCATTCAACTGTGTAGATCATAAATAAATAATGGATAACATTGCAGAGAATGGGAATTCCAGAACATTTCATCGTGCTCATGAGGAACCTGTACATAGACCAAGATGCTGTTGTTCAGACAGAACAAGGGGATACTATATGGTTCAAAATCAAGAAGGGTGTGTGTGTGGGTGTATCCTTTCACCATACTTACTCAATCTGTATGCTGAGTGAATAATCCGTGCAGGTAGACTTTATGAAGAAGAACATGGTATTGGAATTGGACTCATTAACAACCTGCAATATGCAGATGATACAACATTGCTTGCTGAAAGTGAA